CATGTCCTGTCTGATCACCTCTCCCCAATACTTCTTAGGTCTCCCTCTACCTCTCCGCGTGCCCACTACAGCCAGTCGCTCACACCTCCTCACCGGTGCATCAGTGCTCCTCCTCTGAATGTGCCCAAACCATCTGAGTCTTACTTCCCGCATCTTGTCCTCCATGGGGGCCACACCCACCTTCTCTCGAATATCTGCATTCCTAATCTTATCCATCCTTGTATGCCCGCACATCCACCTCAACATCCTCATCTCTGCTACTTTCATCTTCTGGGTGTGTGAGTTCTTTACCGGCCAACATTCAGTTCCATACAACATGGCAGGCCTAACCACTGCTCTATAAAACTTACCTCTTAGTAACGGTGGCACTTATTACCTTTTATATAATATATAGCTTATATATCATATATATATATATATTGCCTTATACATATATATATAGTTTATATGTATTAGATATATAATATATATACTATATCAATTTAAACACAGAATAAATTGCAAAGAAATATTCAAGGGAATGTCTTATAATTTTTATTATTTCGACATTAACAAAAAATGACAATATCTTTCTTAGTCTTCCTCCCCCCAATGGAATGAGCACAACAAGGTACTAATACAACCATTAAAAGGAAAAAAAAAACTAAGGAAGATGTGCCAAAATACTAGTTACATATTAGTCTATGTATTATCTCTAACAAATCACCAACTTCACAATTTTTCACGAAATTACAATTATAAAATAAGCAATTATAGAAGAAAATTAGAGATAGATTGATGAATTTGTGAGTAAAAATGAAAAAATGAGGGGTATTTATAGTTGAGAATAGGGAAAAAGTGTAATTATAAAAAATTTGGGGTTAAAACAAAGTTTGGGGACCAAATGACTATTTTTTAAAGTGTCAAACGGCTAAAAATGAATGCCAACGGCTAGATTTTAAAAATCTAACAGTTGCCTATTTTTTTAATTTTTTTTTTAAAATAGCCGTTGGGCCCGGTTGAACCGGCTCAGGCCCACCTGCCGGTCCCGGGCTAAACGGTCCCGCGCTCATGGGCTTTTTGGGAAGGACCAGCCCGCTATGAGATTTTGCACCACTCGAGACCGGCCCGTTTGAACCAGCCCATTTGGCCCGTTTGACCCGATTGGCACGCGGGCCCGGCCCACAATACACCCTTACCCCTGCTCACTATAAAGTCAACTAGTAGCGGACAACTTACTATAATACGAAGCAGACGACTTACTATAAACATGTTAATTGGTATTCATTTTGGTTTCTTCTTTTATTATGTAGGTTATTGCACTTTTGGCTAGACCAGACAAGTCATCAAAAGTAAGAAAATATTGGAATTGGTATCACTATATTACAGGGAGAGTTTTGATAATGTTGGCAACAGTAAATGTTTTCTATGGTATCCATTTAGGAAATGCAGGAAGTTCTTGGAAGGCTGGTTTTGCTGTTGTTTTGGTTATATTTCTCATCACTGCTGCTTTGTTTGAGATCAGGATGTGGAAGAGAAAATAGAAATTTATGCTTCATTCATGTAATATTTTTGTTTATTTTTCTTGTTTTGATGATTTTCCTTTGTATTTTCTCTACACTGCATTGCATAAAACCAACCCCCCTCCCCCCCAACCCAATTTTTAAGAATTTAAGTTTTATATATTCAATATTTACACGATCGATGTAATTTGATTACTTTTTTCTCAATTACAGAAAATCAGACCCGATTTATGAGAATCCAAAGAAAACGTGTATTAATCTCTACATTATTAGTTGCATATATTTCACTTATTTTATAAGAGTTTTTCCATGTGTTCGGATTTCTAAGAAAGTTTAATGATTGTTGATAATTAATTTTATTGATGGTCATTAAACTTTTGTGTTTGTTACCTAAAAGTTACTTTTTTTGTTACATAAAAATTATTTAACTTTGTGTTCATTACTCAAAATAACTTTTCTTTCTTTTGTTACACAAAAATCATTTTACTTTGCTCTAATTATTACAAAAACCACATTTGCCAGAGTTTATAATATTTTTATTTGAAAAGTCTATTATGCTCTTGATATTATATAAATCTTCATATTTATTTAATACCTTCTATATTATATACTATATCATATATTTTTACCTAGGTAATTTATTTATAACTAAAATAACTTAATATTATTTTGTGTATTATTTTTATAATATATTCGTACATTTAATTTTTTCTTAACTGATTTTGTTTTTAAATTTTACTTGTGTTTATAAAATCTTGGCAAAGTGATTATCTTGTCAAAGTGATTATTGTGTCAAAGTAAAATCTTTATTTTGTTACACAAAAATTATTTTGCTATGCTCTAGTTATCACAATATCACTTTAAACTTTAACCTGAAAAGTCTATTATGCCCTTAATATTATAAATTTTCCAATTTATGTAATACATTCTATATTATTGTCACGACACAAATCCTCCCTCAGTGAAATATCGTGACGACACTTAGTCTCTACGACTAGGTAAACCTAACACCTGTGGAATAATAAAAATGAAAGCATAAATTTAACAACTAACTGCAACAGACAATTTAATAATTGATATAAGTGTCGCTCGGCAAGTACAATAACCAACTCTAGAATATACACAAAATTTCCCCAAGATCCGGAACATCATAAGTCACAAGCTTCTAAGAATTTGTCTAACTGTTTTCTATACATCAATAACTAGAAGAAGTAAATGAGGAACAACATAAAATGGATGGATGGGGACTTCGAGATCTGCGGACACAGGCAGATATACCTTGAAGTCTCCGGAGCAGCAACAAGTACGTAACTAATAGCAGGGCTGATAAGAGGTAGCTGGATCTGCACACGAAACAAGTGCAGAATTGTAGAATGAGTACACCACAACTGTACCCAGTAAGTGTCAAACCTAACCTCGGTCGAGTAATGATGAGGTTAGGTCAGAGCCTTACTGGTATATATAAATTAAATAAGGCAGAATAAAAATATCGCAGTGTAATAAGAGACTGGAATTTAACAAATAGGAAAATACAGAAGAATAACAGTACAGTACACAGGGGTAAAACAACAGGGGATCTCTCGAGATACCGTCTCGTAGTCCCAAAAGTAAATATGTAGGGGATCTCCTAGGATACCGTCCTATAGTCCCAAAGTAAATACGCAGGAGGATCTCCTGTGATACCGTCTCGTAGTCCCAAAGTAAATATGCAGCTCAAAACAATGGAAATAATAGGTACAACAAGAAAATCCTACAATTTAGACTAAGTACACGTTAAGGAAGAACAGAAAAATCCACTAAGTATGCTGCACAGAGTTCAGATAAGCATTTAAAACAGGTAGACATGTGATTTTAGGCTAAACATGGTAACTACACATGCTAGTATAACTCAAGTAAGATGAAACAAGTTATTACTCAGTAAAAATCGGGTTTTACAACAAAAAACCCGTGTACGCACTCGTCACCTCACGTACATGATGATCACATATCACATCGGCACCAAATCCTAAGGGGAGTTCTCCCCCTCTCCCCCCTCCCTCCACAAGGTTAGGCAAGCCACCTACCTCGAACCAAGCTCAATCAATCGGTAATAATGCCTTTTCCATGATTTTCCAAACCCGAGTGGCCCAAATCTAGCCAAAAGCAATTACATACCATAAATACAACTATAAGAAACTAATCTAATTAATGAAATCAAGGCTTATGCAAGAAATTAGAAAATCGCCCCAAAAAGTCAATCCGAACCCACGTCTCGGAATCGGGTAAAAGTCACAAAATATAAACACCCATTCACTCACGAGTTCACTCATACCAAAATTATCCAAATCCAATATTAAAATCCGAATCAAAGCTAAAAAACTTAGTTGAAAAACTTCTCCCATTTTTCCTAAATTTCTCAAGCAAATTCCTTAATTGAATGATGAAATCAACTATAGATTAGTGGAATATAACCATAAATGAGGTAAGAATCGTTATCCAAAAACCTTCTCTGAAAATCCTTCAAATAATCGCCCAAATACGAGCTCTCAAGGTCCCAAAATAAAAATGAGATCAAACTCTCGAAATCCCTCTTTCCTGCCAACCGATCTTCGCACCTGCGTCCTTTAGTCGCACATGCGACGCTGCACCTATGTAAATTCCATAGCAGGGGCGGAAATAACTTAAGAGGGCTGGGTCCGCTTCTGCGACAAAAGGGCCGCACATGTGAGTGCGCGCCTGCGGACGTTTGTCAGCGTCTGAGGTCTTCTCCGCACCTGCGGGTCATTAAGCGCACTTGCGGGCATCGCATCTGCGGTATTTCCCTCGCACCTGCGACCGTTGACCATTTGCTCCAAATCCGCTTCTGCGCTTTACCTCACGCATGTACGTGCCCGCACCTGCCGTCATCCCGCCGCAAGTGCGAAAACACGAGAAGTTGAAAAACTTTAGTAGTCCTCCCTGTCACACCTCTTTTTTCACTACACCCCGGAAGAGAGTATATAAGGGAGTTTTTTCCAACTTAAAGTGACAATCGAAACGAGATCATTTTATTAAAAATTCAGAGTCGCCACTTGGGATAATTTATGGTGTCCCAAGTCACCGGTTTAGAATCCCGAATCGAGGAAAAGATTGACTCTATTTTACAGTCCGCGAACACAGAAATCCGGGTAAGGAATTCTGTTAACCAGGGAGAAGGTGTTAGGCATTCCCGAGTTCCGTGGTTCTAGCACGGTCGCTCAACTGTTATAATTTGCCTATTATCTGATTTTAATACATGTTTTAGCATATGATACATTTTTAACTTATTAGCCTCTTTTAATTAATTTTAGGAAGATTCAACGTTATCTAAAACACATCTTGAACCACGCCACATGAAATGCACCCGCGGTCCCCGACACATTTTATTTAACGTTGTTGAGATTTGGATTTGGGTCACATGAAATGCACACCCGAGTTTAGGAAGGTAAATTATTAACTAGCGCGCCTAAAGCAAGCCACGCATTTGAATTATTTTCCTAATCTTTAAGATTGTTATAAGGCCAAATTTATGAACAAGATATTATTGGGGCCAAGGACTAGCTGAAATATCGAAATTACAAACAGGAACCTCGAATCTATACCGGAGAACTCGAAACCCCAATCTTTCTCAGTTAAACTAGGACCTCCAACTAAGTGACAAAGCACACCCTTTAAGATCTCATTTAAGATATTGGAAAACAAATGCCTCCGTAAATAGGCAGGAACGCTATCTCCCAAATACCCATCATAAATAGCAAAAAGTCCTAGTTCACGTCCTTGCAACTGGACGAACTTAGCAACATGGAAATCCTCTATGGGATGACTAGCTTTCCCCTTAACCAGGCACGTCAAAATTGATTCTTCTTACTGGTAATGAGCGTGGTCGGAAAGTACCTTAGTTCACTGATAATTTCGAAGTTAGAGCTCAATTTTAGAAGCTACAATTGGACAAGATTGGTGGTTGCAATTTGGCTCCAGTAATTGATTTGTACATGCAGGCAATTTCAAGACAAGTTTTGAGAGGCTCAATCAACTTACTCTCTTCAAGGACCTTGAACACATTCACTTCGGAAAACTACTAACATCCGCAACCAATCAGCTTCGATTTCAATTTGGAGTTCATTTACTAACAATCAACAAAACCAACAGACCAATCGTCTTTTATGGTTGATGTGCCGTTTTTTTTTTTTTAGTCTAGATCTAGGAATTGAAAATTTAGGGTAGAGTTTTTATAATTGGGTATTTTATATGGAAGTGAGAAGGGATGATGACCATTGGATTAGAAAAAAATAGATGGCTAGTATTAAATCTTGCACTTAAATGGGCTAATGGGTTGGGAAGAATGGGCTAAGGGTAATTGGGTTGGATCATGTCTTTTTTATGTCTCAATTTTGGGCTAAGAAGACTCCAAAATTATTATTCAAAACTATAGCTAAATTCCTTTAATATAAGATAACTATACTACATGATGCAAAAGCAAATTCTAATTAATTAAACTAAACTATATTAAAACATGAAACTATTATATATTTTTTGTATTTTTCAAGATTATATAAAGATAAAAATAAGGTACATTATTTGTATTTTTTTTTACTTTATGAAAGGTACATAAAATAAAATATTTTTGTAATTTTCATTTTCTTGTAATAAAATAAAGTAAAAAAGTCAAAATTAGTTGAAATAACAATATTAGACCTAAATTAAATATTTACATGCTAAAATATATAAAATCTTGGGGAGGGTCAAAAATCACATGTCTACACTCTCAAGTCCAAAATGAATCCGAAAATGATCCGAAACACACCCGACTCCCCCGGGACCTCAACCAAATATACCAACAAGTCCTAAAACACTATACGAGCTTAGTCGAGCCCTCAAATCACATCAAACAACGCTAAAAACACGAATCACCCTCCAATTCAAACTTAATGAACTTTGAAACTTCAAACTTCTACAACCGATGTTGAAACCTATCAAATCACGTCCGGTTGACCCCAAATTTTGCATACAAGTCATAATTGACATTACAGACCTACTCCAACTTCTGAAATCAGAATCCGACCCAGAAATCAAAAAGTCCACTTCCAGTTAAAATCTCCAAAAAATTAATTTTCGACATTTCAAGCCTAATTCAGCTGCAGACCTCCAAAACCCAATCCGGACGCGCTCCTAAGTCCAAAATCACCCAATGGAGCTAACAGAACCGACGAAACTCTATTTCGAAGTCATATTCACACAGTTCCAACTACGGCCAAAATCCTAGAACTTAAGCTTCCGTTTTAGGGACTAAGTGTCTCAAATCACTCCGAAACCACAAACAAAATCTCCCGGCAAATCACATAACTAGAAAAAATATGGGGAAAGTAGTAATTAGGGGATCAGGACTATTACTCAAAAACGACCGGCCGGGTCGTTACAATTTTATATCATGTAATATATAATATATTTTTACCAAGGAATTTTACTTGTAATTAAAATAATTTTATATTATTTTATTTATTATTTTTATAATATATTAGTACGTTTATTTTTCCCATGATACTGATTTTGTTTAATCATATTCGAGCATGAATATATTTTCAAATATGAAAACAACAAAAAAATATTTATTTAAAATAACAAAAACAGATTTGCTTAACAAATTATAGTTTTTTATAGTTAGTAAAACTCTTAATATTTTTAAAATATATTTGAGTTTAATATTAAATTTTATGCTTTATCTGTTGATATTATTTATTTGAAACCGTTAATCTGATGTGTGAGTTTACTAAATGTTGGTATTTTATTTATTGTATTAATGAATATAGCTTGATCGGTTAATCTGTGAGCTTTTATTTTATAATTCTTATTAAAAATATTTCATTAGGAGTGGTTAAGAATGTTTACTTGAGATTTGTTCATAGTAAAGTTACTGACAAATTTAATAACGGTACCAATATATTTTAAAAATTAATGTTAAGAAAAAATTGAATGTACGAACATATTATAAAAATAATAAATAAAATAATATTAAGTTATTTTAGTTATAAATAAAATACCTTGGTAACAATATATTATATAGTATATAATATAGAAGATATTACATAAATATGAAGATTTATATAATATCAAGGGCATAATAGACTTTTCAACCAAAAATATTATAAAATCTTGCAAATATGACTTTTGTGATAACTAGAGCAAAGTAAAATGATTTTTTGTAACAAAAGAAAAAAAAGTGACTTTTAAGTAATGAACACAAAGTTAAATAATTTTTACGTAACCAAAAAAAAAGTAACTTTTGGGTAACCCACACAAAAGTTCAATGACCATCAATAAAATTATCTATAATTCTATTGTTGTGTTTAGTTCCTCGTTTTTTCCTTTTTAAATAATGGTACTATTTGAGAGCTAACTTAGGCTTTTAGAAACTTGCTATCTATCGGTACAAGTCGTTTCGGCGACAATGCAATATTCAAAGTACAATCATGTCATGCATATAAAAATTCAGAAGAAAATTGGTGAACAACTATGGTGGAACTATAAAACACCAAGTAATTATTTTAGTCAATCTAAATCTTAGTGCCCAAGATTATTAATAGGAACTATCTGATGGAATAGTTGAGGTGTGCGTTGTTTATGGTCTTATCTACTTTAATAAGAAAGCGCTCTTAATTTAGTTCGATAGAAATGAGTCTCCAAAACCCGACGTCTTAGGTTCAAATCCTACGGAGCGTGATTTTTTTCTTCTTAAATCGAATTAGAATAAAATAAATTCATCCAGTATACAAAAAATAGAAATAATAAGGAAGAGTAGGATTTTTGTAGAGAATGATGGTTCGTCATAAAAGAAAAAAGGTGTGAAATTCGATTGCTTTCACTTTCATTTGAAAGCACATTACAATACTTGTATGCTTCTAGCCGAAATTTTATTAAAAATGAGGAAAAAGGAAAAATAACTTTGACATGTGTAATAAAGAAAATAAAACATTAATTTTTTTAATCAAAACTGAAGATCATGGTGGGCCACCATTTGATTCCAGAATAAGAGGATCATTTCATTAGATTTGAATAATTAGCTATTACAGCTGGGGCACCACTTGATTTGAGAAACAATAAACAATTTATTTTTCTGTTTCAATTATATTATCTTTTAGCTATATAAGAGGTAGCATTCCCGTAATAATCAAACTACAACCTTCAAAAGAAAAAGAAAAAAAACTGGAAGAATACTGTCAAGACTTATATGCTAATGGCATTATAGTTTATCACATAATAAGTGTGAATTCAATTTTTACGTTTCTCTTATTTTTTTCCTTTTTCAGTTCCAATATGCAATAAAAAACTAAAGGAAAAACTAAGAAATGATGGTTAGGTGTAATTTATTTTTGATCCAGTTGTATAAAAATCAAGTCTCAATCAAATATGTTAGAGTCTCAATCAAATTACTAAATTTAGTGGAGTACGTACGGTAACTACTTAATATAAATATCTTATTTTTTTTCCCAACTATAAATGTACATATCGAATAAATAAAAAAATTCATGAAGAGCTTTTCTTTTGATTGTACATTTGTCTTACAAAACTTAAAACAAATTAATTTCATTTCAATTTCAATAAATCAAATTACTTAACTTTAGAGATATTGATTTTGATCATTACCTCACTGTCATTTAAGCATTTAATTTGTTCTATCTTAATACAAAGATATGTTGTTATTATAGTCAACAAATTAACCAGACAACCTTGCGCAAAATATGATACTAAATATAAATAAATGGACAATTATATTTTTCAAACAACTAAAAAGAACGGCAACAGCTAGCAAACTATTTTTGAATTCATTTATATTACTTTGTCCTGTCACCTGTGTATTTGCTGGACAATATTGTACCGCTTTATACAAAAGAACAAATTAAGGTACAATAATAATAGGGGAGAAATGCTTAATATAAATATTTTTTTACAGTAACAATGCAATCTAATAAAATGTAGCGCCTAACAATACTTGGTTACTGAATTACTTATTTATCTTTATACTTATTCGCACCAAAAAATCAATTAAAATTTGCACCAAGATGACATATCTACCGTAGTCTGTATAATTAGAGGTTTCACATTCAAATTTAGAATTGGAAAAATCTAATTGATGCGCTTATGCGATCGAAAGTTAAATTTAATTGAACCAATAAATTCTGGATAGCATATAGTTATATAAAGATAAATAAAACAAAATAGATAAAAAACAACTATCCATCTATATTATCTATTGAATATAGATTGAATAATGAACTTTTTAAAAATTTATTCAAAGTAAATATGAATAAGATTCATATTATCCACCTAACCGATGGATAACGAGTTTCTTCTAGATTTGCAAAAACTCAAATTAAAAATTTTTTATGTTTGGAAGAGTCGAATTTTTTTTACTAAATAATCATATTCAAAAAATCAAGATAATATGAAATATCTATATTATCTACCCATTAACTTATTTTCTATTCCTTTAATATTAATCAGGTCAGATAATTTATATATCCGACCAGACCCGCTAATTCGACTCCTAGGCTAGAATCAAAATTTAGCGTGAAAAAAAAAAAAGAATCGAGATTTCCCGAAAAAAGTAAGGTTCTTCCATGAAAATGAATCCAAACAATTACAACTGAGATAAAATACCGGCGAGAAACAAGAAAAAGAAAGGACGACGGAGGTGGAGGAAGAAGAAAGAGAGATTAAGAAAAAGAAGAGAGAGAAACAGTCACCAAAACTCAGTCCTCCCCTCTTCAAACCCTAATCCACCAATTTTCTCTCTCTACCTATACGTACATATATTTTAATTGATATATTCATGTTCTTGTAATTTCTGATCATTCACATTTCTGCTTCATAATTCAGTTTCCCGTATTGCCCTTCCGCTTTATCCGAATTTCCAGATCATACCAGAAGCAATTGCAGTGTTTTCGAGGGCAATTCGGTCCAGATCTGAAAGGACTCGTTACTGACCGTAAAATATATCTGCAATGGACGATCTCGATGTGCTGGCTCGAGACTTCGGGTTCAAACCCGCCGGAAAATCAGCTCCCATGAGATCCGACGGTGGAGATCGCCGCTCCTCTTCCGTCCGATCATCAAACTCTTCACCATTGTTCGATGATCCTGATAGTCTATTATACAAAGATGTCTTCACAAAATCTAGTAATAACAACAGTAAATACTCTTCAATGAGCGATTTCAATTACGATTCCATTTTCAAATCCGATTCGAATAGCAACAAGAACCACAATAACAACAACAAAACGTCGTCGTTGCCGGTGTACGACAAGCCAGTGTACGACGAGGATATTTTCGATGGATTGCCAGGACTGAAGAGCAAATCGGTAACCGAAAAATCTGCATCCGCCGTGGGATTTGACGACGACGTTTTTGCTAAAATGACTTCGCCTCCGCAACCAAAGCATAAAGACGATCACTTTGGTGATCTGCTGGGTAATTTGAAGGGGAATGAGAAGAAGGTGACAGAGCCGAAGAATAGTACGAGCAGCTCGAGTGCCAGAGGGTTTGATGATTTGTTAGCTGGTTTTGGGAGTAGCAGCACTTCCACCACTAATAAGAGGTACTTTTGTCATAGTTCTGAAAGCTCCAGTTTGTTCTCTAATCATAATAGATTAAATACTTTAAGCTTTTTTTAGTGAGATCAAGTAATGGCCCGGAGTGGATACAAAATTAAGGCTTAGAACTGATCCTAATTAGTGTGTGATTAATGTGTGACATAGTTGGATTGGATGTGTCTCATTTGCAACTAATGGCAGTATGAGTAAGTTTCCATCGTTTTATTGCACGAGCAGAAAAACATTTGCAAGCACCTGTGGGTAAAATTTTATTTGGGCTGGAGATCATATTTAATTGGTTTAGGTAATTCGGTTAGATATGTTAGAGTCTGAACTTGGAGTAAGCCGTTCTGTGGATTGGCATGAATGAGCAAGATCTTGAAGATGTTAGAGACAACTAGGCTTCAATCCAAACTAGCTGGAATCAGCTGTAGGAGTCCTGAATATTCATTTTGTTAAATTTGGACCCCACATTCCAATACTTGTCAAGGTTGGAAGTTCGCATGCAAATCTTTGAACAAAATAAATGACTCCTACCGTTCATATCCAAGCCTTAATCCCAACTTGAGGGATACTAGATGTGTTGTTGAATTTCTAGAGCTATTGAAATGGTATTAGCATGACATTCGTTCTGGATTAAAGCATACACAGGGTCAGAAAAAAAGTTCACTATCTGTAACAGTGCAAACATATATGCCCTTATATTAGAGCCGGTGTATTATCTCTTTTCAACAAAGGTCAGTGACATTGAAAATGATCAAAGAAAAAAGAAATTCAGTGGCACCGAAATAACTTCTGTTGCGAGTCAACCTTGAATCGCTGACTGTATATAAAGCAGTTTAGTTATCATGATTTGCATTTGAAACTGTTCTTCTATGTGCTTGTGTGACTTTTTTTTCTTTGATTTCCTCTTGGTGGTTGGGAGCAAGGGGGTTATGATCTAGCGAAGAGAGAACATTTACTTTTTTAGGACCATACAAACATTAATGTGATAATGGGGTCAGGAAAGTGTTTGGATACTGCAGAAGGCCATCTTCTCATTGAGGGACATACATTACTACTGTCTAGGTTATTTTGATACAGCTTGAAAGGGATAACGTGTCACAACTGTGCCCTCTTGCACGTCGAATTGGTTAGCCATATGAAATGTATCTTTTAGCTTTTTGAAACTCCGTATTTCTTATTGTTGTTAATATATGGAATTACTTCCCATATTGCTGATAGGCAAAATACTCTATAATTAGGTGGAAAGCAGTGTATTAACTCTAACAGATAGCACACAGCCACACAGAATATGTCTTCATCAACCAAAAAAAAAAAGAGAAGAGAATATGTAATTGTTGTAGTGGAATAGATATAATTCCTGTTAGTTTATTCAAAGCTGTGGTAAATTTAAGTACCTGGTAGTTTGCGTGTTTTATAGTAAAATGAAATCAGTTCATTTCTCCATTGAACCTTTCACTACTCACAAATTTCCTTCTAGATTATCAGAGTGACTAGAGAATATTAGATTGGATTTAAAGTAAATCATCATATCATACTATATTATAAGTGGGAAGCCAAAACTGTAAAGTTAAAAGACCGAAATATCCATATAAAACTGAACGACCTTTTTACCCTTCAATCTAACACTACTTTTATGATATTTTTATAACAAAAAGTAAACTTACATTTCATTAAATACTATTAGACCAATACATAGCTTAGTAGCTTACGATCAATCGGCTTGATGAGAACGTGAAGTTTCATGCATCTATCAACACTTATTACAGTGTATTCAATGTCAATGAGTTACTTTTTTCTTTTAGTATCTCTATTTAATGTCTTGGAGTTTGTTTCGTGGGAGTTGAAGGATTTTTTTTTTAGTTGTAATGTAAGTCTTTTGCAAAGCTTTCGCTTTCATCAGTATTATTGCATAAAACCATGAGTCAGCTTAAGCAGTTTTCTCATCCTTTATTTGTTATTAAATGATGCCCAAACATCCCTTGAAAAAAGTAGACATGAAATCCATTGAGTAATTCTTCTTTTGATAGTTAAACTTTTGTCAATTGGAAAATTCTTGTTTGGATTATTCTTCTCTCCTTAAAAATATTGTTCTTTTAGACCTACCTTTCCACCATTTGCAAAATACATTGCCATGTGCAAGTGTCAAATCCGGTAAAGTCATTTATAGAAGGCTCCGGGTTGTACTCTAGAGGTAATGCTATACTCCATTCTTCCTCCCGGCTTGTTATCTGATTATTTAAATTCAAAATTCACTACTATGAGTGTTTTACTGATTCTGTAGTTGCTCCTCTTCTTGGATCTTAAACATATGTCGATAGCTATATTGTTTCTGTAAACTTTGGTTAGGGAACAGTACTTGCACCACCCGCTCCTCTTTTACTGGACTTGACTTTTAGACAATGTAGTATCATAACAGTAATAAAGTTTATATGGTGTATCTATCCAATTAAATATAGTTGTTTTACAGGTTATTTCTAATGATTGTTTCATACATCTGTTTTTTCCCTTTAAATTTTGTGCTAAACATTATAAAACTCATATTTATGCCGGTTTGTAAAATTAGTATTGATTGAGATGGATTACACGTGCAACGCACATATCCAAAAACTAGTAAATACTAAAAGAAGAAGAAAAGATCGAACAGGGGTGTCTCAACGGGATTGCATCATTAGACTGTGTTTGACATGTGGGTACATTTTTCCTTGGCATATCAGTTGGTAATTAGTGATGTGGATTCAAATAAATTAATGTACTGAATATACTGTGAAATTGTTAGCTTATCTTTGTTGTCCTGAAATTGATTGTCTAATGAGGGAAATGTTGTTTTGTACAGGTCATTTACAGAGTCTAGTCAATACTCCAAACCCGCTGGAAATCCAAATCAAAGTTCTAGTGTGATGGATGACCCTTTTGCAGGCTTAGGGTCAACTTCAATGGCGGCTTCGTCTTCCCCAGGGGAGTTCATGGATCCACTTGAAGAGATTGGTCATCAGCTTGGTAAATCTGGAAATGCAAAATCTGAAGCTTCATCGGTTAGTGGAGGAGGACTTGATGATTTAGATCCATTGAATGGTTTTAGTAAGTCTGTCCCTCCGTTCTACCCTGCTAGGAATAATAGAGGGACGGAAGGGAGCCCTCAAAGTGCAGGATCGGGAAGGAGCGACACACAAACCTCTACTTCTAGAGAAAACATTGGCAAATCATCTTCTAGATCTTCTGGTAGCCGCTCACAGAAAAAGGTGCCTGGGGATAGTTTTCAGGACTCTCCTCTTTTTGACATGCCTTCAGCTGATCCTCGGAGATCTTTTGGTCAAGCTGCTTCCCCTCCATATGCAAGTAGCAATATTCATGAAAGAAACTTTGAATCAGATACATCCCCAAGATCAGAGGAACCTTCTGATGATGTATGGCTTTCTGTATCAGAGATTCCTCTTTTTACACAACCTACAAGAGCTCCACCTCCATCACGACCGCCACCTCCAATTCCACGGCGAAATATAAAGTCAGATTCAAATGCAAGAAAGAAGGGTGACAGATATTCGTCTTCTCCAAGTTACAATCAACACTCTGAAAGTCCTAAACTTGCTCGTCCTGCAGCCAAGAGCGCTCCAATTTCACCGTTGGATGAACTTGATGAATTTGCCATGGGTAGGTCTCCCCATAGTGTGGATGAAGGTGCAGATATTCATTCTGGTGAAGATGTGAGTGCAAACTCAGTAGCTGCTGCATCTGCAGCTGCGATGAAGGAGGCTATGGATAGAGCTCAGGCCAAATTTAGACATGCTAAGGAAGTTCGAGAAAGAGAATATGCAAAGGCAGCTAAGAGTATGGAGGCCGTAAACCTGGACAGGGAAGAACAAGCCGTGCATGAGATGGAAGAAAAAGAACTGAGAGAAAACAAGGAGAGGTTAGAACGTGAACATCAACAGAGGGAAAAAGAAGAGGAAGAGAGAGCACAGCAGAAACTGGAGAGGGAGAGGGAGAGGGAGAGAGCTAGGGAGATGGAAAGAGATAGGGGTAGGCAAGCTGTAGAAAGGGCTACTAGGGAAGCACGTGAAAGAGCAGCAGCAGAAGCTAGAGAAAGAGCTTCTGCTGATGCTCGTTTGAAAACCGAAAGAGCTGCTGTGGAGAAGGCTGCAGCTGAAGCTCGAGAACGGGCTGAAAGGGCTGCGGTTCAGCGAGCACAAGCAGAAGCACGTGAAAGAGCTGCAGCAGAAGCTAGAGACAGAGCACAAAAGGCAGCTGCTGAAGCAAGGGAAAAAGAAGCACGTGAAAAAGCTTCAGCTGCAAAAGTTGAGGCTGAGGCAAGACGTCGAGCAGAACGAGCTGCTGTAGAAAGGGCTGCTGCAGAGGCTCGGGAAAGGGCAGCTGCAGAGGCTCGAGAAAGGGCTGCTGCTGCTGCAAGGATGAACCAGCAAAAGAATGACGATGATCTTGAATCCTTTTTTAATATGGGTTCTAGAGCCAACAGTGCACCAAAGACAAGAACAAGTTCTTCTGTAAGTGTAAACTAAACAACACAAGATATCTAGTTAAGCCTTTTGCAGCGCTCAATATTTTGTTTCTCATTTTGGTAACCACTTCTTTCTTCACCTGCCATTTTAGGAGACTTCATTTGCTTCACAGTTCCAGAACAAGGCAGGTCCGGAAGGGCCAAAGGCAACATTCTCATCTACTACAACCTCCTCCAACAGGACAAAGGCATCTTCATCAACTACGAGTATTGTTGATGATCTCTCTTCAATTTTTGGAGGTACTTACTTTTTTGTGGCTTCACTGGCAAAATTCATGGGGGCTAGTCTGTACTACTAATAAAGTCTCGCAGGCTGGAGTAACTACCTGACATCTATTTACTTTCTCCAATTTTTATCCTCATTTGAATTTATCTTACTTAATTACAACCTAATTCAACTCATCAGCTAGTAGCAGTTTTTTTTCTTGAATAACTCCCTAACTCCCTCAATTGTACACAAGATGCTTTTTAAAAAAAAATCCTTCCTCAATTTCTTACCATTTGTTATTATGTTGTATTTAAACTTTAAGAAGTCATTTAGGCAATTATATGCTTATTGACAAACTAATGGCATATGCACTGCGTGTCCCGTTGTCGATTTTAACTCTGGCTTATCGATTTGTGATTACTGAATATTTTTCTTAACCAGCTGCCACATCATCTGGAGATTTCCAAGATGTTGAAGGGGAAACAGAAGAAAGAAGAAGAGCTAGACTAGAACGCCATCAACGAACTCAGGAGCGTGCGGTATGCCCCCTAACACGTGTCTTTTCTCTTCATGTTTCAACAGTCGGGGCAAATTTCTATTTACAGCCAGCCTTTGAGCATGTATGGCATAGTTTGGCTTTGTATATAATTTATGATATATATTTGCTCAGGCCAAAGCTTTGGCGGAAAAGAATCAGCGTGACCTTCAAGTTCAGAGGGAGCAGGAAGAAAGACATGTGAGTACTGTTTTAATAAATAACATGCAAAAGTACTTGTGTTACTACACTCCCTCAATTTCGCATATAATGATGACCGATGGTAGATGCTGTTGGCCGTAACTTTTTTCTTTCTCCCCTCGTTTGAGAGTATACTGCTACACCTGCCTCTCTTTATCATTTTAATTGAGACACTTGAATCACAAATTTGAATCTGGCGATTTTTTATAATTAATGAATATGTTCCTTGTTCGTCATGCAATAGAAAATTTCACTTTCTAAAGTTCGATCAAGGGATAGGGACTAAACCTGTATTTCATATCCTGTTACAGATGATGCTTAAAATCTTCGCAGATAATGGCATATACAAGTTATGTTGATGTCTATGGTTAAACAAGGTCCCTTGACCGTATTGTTCCAAATAAGTAAATTGTTTGTCTAAGGATGTTTAGGCTGACCTCTGTAAAATTTGAGTGGTGTGCAACTATTATGTAATAGCTGAATAGAACCGCACAATTCTTTGTTTTCTATGCGCACTGCTACATGCCTGGATTGCATTACAGAGTAAAAAACAATCATTTTGTTGCGGTGCTTGTTTAGACGCCCCATCATTTGTAAATCATAATTTAGAACTTTGATTGGAAAGGTTTTCTTCCTTCAAATGCTGCCTAAATTTTTGGATCTTGCTTAAATATGCAATTTGAGCTAGCTATGTCCTATATCAGTAGGATCACTTTCTTCTTTTTATTGCTGAATGAATCAAGTTAAACTAAGAAAAATACTCCTCAAGTCCTTTTATTTATACACATTTGGCTATTCAGTGTATATCTAAATGCGTTGAGTATTCCTTACTAAACTATGTGCTGGCAGAGCTTGGGTGCATCCATATTTCTGGGATGAGCTTGCTTCTTATTTTTCTCTATTGGCATTTGTGTGCCTTTCATCCTTCATCTTTCTGCTCCGACTTCTATGATATGTCTTTGCTGTGAATTTTATTATTTTATCACCGGTTATAATTGCTTACTTTTTCTGTACAGAGAATCGGTGAGACCCTAGATTTTGAAATCAAGCGGTGGGCTGCTGGGAAAGAAGGAAATCTGCGTGCACTGCTATCAACTCTGCAATATGTACATTCCGTCTTATGTCCATGTATTTTAGGAGATCAGTTGCACACCTGAACTGCTCACTCCACTTAACACATCACCTAGTTAACAAGAGAAAGGAGAAATCCAAGGGCATGTTTCTTTCTATAGTAAAAAATTACCGAATAACTGATACACACATTCGATATATTTTTCCGTCTATGTATTTACTTGCTAATCACTGTCACGTTTTGTTTTTTGGGTGGGGATTGTTGACTTCTACCTGTCCGGTGCGGATAGCTAGAAGAAAAACACTGGTGTTAAAGAAAAACACCACAGACAAAAACAAAGCCTTCATATCAGATAACGAATTTTACGTTCAACTATAGAAATTCACCAAAAAATATACAAATATATGGAACATCTACAGAGACCAAAATACATTGGATCTATGGAAAATCATGATTTTTCTGATTGACATTCATAAATTAGCTATGTATGAATGGAAAAGCCTATAATTGCTGACAAATATGATTGTCTGTGCTTCTAATAGAATGGCCTTGATGAAGATATCAAATTGACTTGTGTTTATTGCTTAGGTGCTTTGGCCTGAATGCGGTTGGCAGCCGGTTTCTTTGACGGATTTGATTACTGGTGCTTCTGTGAAGAAGGTATATAGAAAAGCGACATTGTGTATCCATCCCGATAAGGTGCAGCAGAAAGGCGCCACCCTTCAACAGAAATATATTGCGGAGAAGGTGTTTGACATGCTCAAGGTATTTTATCACTGGTCAACACATTGTTTCATCAATGCAACACGAATTTGGTTTTTCATTAACATCTCCTCCACATTTCTTGTTAATCAGAGGTTTTACTCCTTTATCACGATATGTTAATAACCAATTAGTCCGTGGTTATTTGTCGGGGTAGATCCATTGACTCCTTATTCCAAACAACCGCACTTTTTCTTCCCTGGTATGCTGCTTTTCAGTAGTGGGTCAAGGGTTCTGAACTTATGAAGCCTGTTAAAAACAGATGTCTTTTGGTTTTTATAGGAAAGGGTTCTTATGCAGGCTGATGGCAAGTTTCATTTTTTGGGGTTTTTCCTTTTGCCTTTTTAAAATCATAATTGAAAGGTCCTCTCCTTGTCACTGCTTGTTATTTCTGTTACTCTCAAGTCCCTTGAGATCTCAATGCTTGACTTTGTAAATTCTCTGCAGCAATAGGTCGTTTGTACATATGGGTCTTTTCTTTTTTGTTTTTGTACAGAAAAGTTCCAAATTATGTTACATCCTGGCACCAACTTAGTGCCAGATTACTGTTTTTAGTACATTCATTTTTACCTCTCTTAAGATATTTATTAAGGTTCTATACCTTTCAATAGGAAGCATGGAACAAATTCAACTCAGAGGAGCTTTTCTAGATGCTGCACTCATTCATTAGCTTTGAGCTACCTTTGAATTTTTGATAGAAGAGGTAGGAACTGTTTCAAAGCATGCTCGTGGTGCCCTGTGCATTATTATCTTGTCTCCCCATCACGTGGCATTATTGGGCCGATGAAAGAGGCCTTCGTAGCAGTGATGTTAAACTGTAATGTATAATATGTCGCTGTAAATTGATGTCAGTGCCAAAGACATTTATGGTGAATGGCACTTGAATCGACTGGTTTCGGGGATAAAATATCACCATTGTTCATTATGTGCAGCAAGAAAGGAGCAATTTATCATTGAATTGAAAAGTTATACAAAATGTATTTTCACCATTCATTTATGTCAAGTTTTTGTATCTTTTTGAGGAGAAAAAATCTCTCTTCCATCATTTTTGGACTGAGAACGAGTTTGCCTGTATTGAGTATCAGAATGATATTTTTGCATGGTGTGAAAGGTGAAGTTTAAATGTGAACTCTAGTCTTCGGAGCCAAATTTTGCAGTTCCACGGACGATGGGATGCAAGTGTTTTTACACCAGTCGTTGAGTTTGACACTGATTTTTGTAATTACAATTAATCCAATTCTAAGGTAGCTTTCCAAATGATCTCTTGATAATACATGCTACTGTTGAAAGATTTACTGTTCGATGAAATCTACTTAACATTTGGCAATGTTATCTTAGATTTCTGATGGCCTATAATCTTGGATGTGTGTAATGAGTATACATAACGATAAATTTGCTTTTTTTGGTTTTACAGATTTTTGTTTCATGCTAGTATGTTTGTCCAGCGATAATCTGGATATAAAGTTAGGCTTTTACAAATAAAGTGACAATGGTTCCAGTTAAAGAGGAGGCACCGTCAAATGGGGGAGCATGTGAAGCCAAAAGTGAAATAATGATTTAACTTTTCACCCGAAAAGTTATTAGTATCACTTACTAGATTCAACTTTCAAGCTTGATCAACACTAAAAGTTCAATCCAAAAGGCAAATGACTATTATTCCTATTAAGATATGACAGATATCAATATTCTGATTTTACAGCTCGCAATGATTTTTCTCTCAAACCAGAATCAAATGTGAACTCATTACCTCTCAAGCATATTAACGTATTGTCAAATTTGTCTGTAACAACTTTATTGATTTCGATATTTTTTAGTTGCTATAGTGAAGTATTGTTATAATAAATATATATTACGGAAAAGGGTCATATATGCTAGTGAACTATGCAAATTAGGACAAATATGCCCGTCTGTTAATAGTTTGACACATATATGCCCAATCCGTCCAATACTTGCTCATTCATGCCCTTAGTTTAACGGAACCACTATTTTGTCTTTCTTAAATAATTAATAATCGGACCCAACCAAATTCGTTGACCCGATATGTTAGGACCCGACCCACCTTATTTTAAAGATATTTTTTGATATATTATTTTTGTTTGATTGAGAAATTGTGTGATAATTATATTTATTTATCGAGTAATTTGATAATCGATTTTTTTTGTTATACATCATTTCGGGAAGTAATCCTACTAAAAGTTATAATTGATATTTATCTATTATTTTAATAATATAATATTCGAATTAATTTGTGCTTTCTTCAATCATTTTATCATCTATTTTTATTTTTCTCAGTGGTGCTTGCTATGAAATAATATTTGTTATAAAATAATTAATTAGTAAAAATAGAAAAGAAGTACCACTGTTTTAACAGTGGTGCTTGTTATGAAATAATATTTGTTATGAAATAATTAATTAATAAAAATAGAAAAGAAGCACCACTGTTTTAACAATTTATTGCTTATTTCATAACAAATTTGTAATGCAGAAAATAATCTAATAAACTAATAATCAATCATATAATGATCACTTATCTAAACAAACCAAAAAAAGGGATCCATCAGGTTAAGTTATAGTGAACATGGAGTTATTTATATTTGTATTAGTGAAAAATATAAATAGATTGTGAGAAAAATAAAAATAGATGGTAAAATGATCGAAGAAAGCACAAACTAGTTCGAATATTATATTATTTAAATAATAAATAATATCAATTACTACTTTTAGTAAGATTACTTCCCGAAATGATGTATAACAAAAAAAATCTATTATCAAATTACTCAAATAAATAAATATGATTATCACACAATTTCTCAATCAAACAAAAATAATATATCAAAAAATATCTTTAAAATAAGGGTGGGTCGAGTCCTAACGTATCGGGTCATCGGATTTTGGTTGGATCCGATTATTAATTATTTAAGAAAGACAAAATAGTGGTTCCGTTAAACTAAGGGCATGAATGAGCAAGTATTGGACGGATTAAGCATATCTGTGCCAAACTATTAACGACGGACATATCTGTCCTAATTCGCATAGTTCATTAGCATATATGATCATTTTTCGTATATATTATAATACAACATGAAAAATTGATTCCAAAGAAAGTTTAACCATTGTAGTGAAGTGCTGATAAGTATGACGGTACTCTCAATCAAAACAAAATTTGATAAAAATTTTCATTGATTTACGTCTGCCTATTAGGACAACACAACGTTAAAGTTTTCATATCATTTTAAATACAAATAAGGATTATATCAAATATGCAATAATGTTATGAATAGTTTGTACATTTGATACTACTTTGGATACTACGTTGGATACTACATTGGATGCTACATTGGATGCCCATGTTGTGAATAACTTAAAGATTAAATTT